TCTCGTATGAATATCTTAGAAATATAGTCATTTAATATTACTGTGATAACGTTGTAGAATATTGAGAAAAAGAAAAATTTCCTAAATCTAGCATATTAGAATACTGTCGTAACGTGACAATATGATATTTAATCCCATATCAAATAATTCGAAATACGAAAACAAGGTACATGGGCGCAACATTCTAGGGTGACGCGCGAGCGTCCACTTTTCCAGCCGTCATCCTCTTCATGGTTGAGTGATGGCGCTAAGTGGAACCAACAAATCGAAGGGTACAAGTCAAACAAACCTCGAGTACGAACAGTGACCACGTTCCAGCCAACGCGTTGTAATTCGTGCATCGCTTATCGACAGTGTCCGCGCGAGGGAATACACGGTCGAACACGCGTTTTATACGAGCCACGATCCGACACGGGAAGGATGAACGTTGGCAACGCGAAACCGCTGTCACATAACGGCGCCGTCATTGACCAACGTTGGGAACGTTTCATTTACTCGACAAGAGAGACGCGAAATCCCTGACGGAAGTCGTACTCGTTCGCGTTTATTATGCAACGCATCGTGACGCGGTTGTTCAGGTGCGAATCGAATTGCGGTCGAATGCTGGCCGGAAGGCGTTCGTGTGCATCGTATACCCGATTACCTGTTAATCTGTTCCACGGATACTTTGCCGCCATTTCTGTTCACCTAGGTGGTCACTTATCGTTAACGCACGCTAACGAGTACGCTGGATTAGGTTCCTTCTTTTTAATTTTCACTAATTTGTAAAAGAAAAACTTCCGCGAGTTCATCAGTCGCAAGGTGTATCTTCTTTTAGAAAACTCGTCTAAATAAATCGTGATTAAGTAGCCTCTTAAGCGACCAAGACTCCAACGTCCAACGCGTTAGAATTCTTTTCCCCCTTCGTACTGCAGGAAAGGGTCGTGAAATATGCAAGGGAAAGGTTATGAAAATAGAGGGAAATTTTCATCTCGACTTCCCAAGCAAAGATTCTCGCCCTTAGAAACGGTAACAAAGAGAAAAAAATTCTTCTCTTTCAACCAAAGGATCCTTTAATGTTCTCGTAATTAATTACACCGTTTTTATCCGCTAATTAAAAACTTTCCGTCTTTGACCCCTCTCGATCGATTTGTATTTCTTCGAAACCTTTTCGTCGAATTGGAACACAAATTGAGTGGAATTGTCGAGAGGGAAGAAACGAAGAAATCTTAAACTCGCATCATCGTGATTGTCCACGCAAAGATTTCATAATAATCTGGCTAGCAAAACTATACCTTCTTATAGTTTATACCTTCTGACGGGTAACTCGGTTAAGTTTGACGAAACTCCGTCGAACTTTCATCTCGGCCGGGTTTACCGAGGGAAAAAGGTAAAATTGAGGAAAAATGAGGAAAGGGATGGAAAGTGTCTCGGGAGAAGCGTGCAGCCCACGTGGTGCCACTCGAAACTCAATTTTCCCTATGCGCTCTACACCTTTCTTTCCCGAATAAACTTGCTTCTGGTTAGAAGCGTGTATGTTAGCTTCCGTGATAGCTTTTTCCCTTTTCCAAAGAAAATAATATTATGGACGTATGAAGTATTAACATCGTTTACTCCGTGTACCTTAATACTCCACTTCATTTCCTTTAACCCTTGCAACCATTTCCCTTTTTCCCTGGAACAGCCAAGGGAATAGGGTTAAAATAATGAAAGAGAATGAAGAATTTTCAAGTACTTAGCACTTTACATCAAATTATTAACGTCCCTTATTGTTACTCGATAAATAGCAGTAGAATACTTTCGTTCGTCCTGTTTCAAGAAATTGAACGAAACAAAGGGAATAAAATCAAACGACCAGGGTATAAGAAGAAGACGGGAAAAGAAACTACTATTGCAAACAACGTGGAGTCTCGTCGAACGAATGAAAAGAGTCCGACGAGGTTTTAATTACTCTGAATGCCTCACTGTGTTCGCTCGAAGACGCCGTGACAGCTCTTCTACCTTTGTCCTTCTTCGACTCTCCACCATTCGATAGGTTGTTTCTCTCGTTTCGATTCGTTCCTAGAGGAGAATCTAGTCTCCCTCTTTGTTCTTCAATTCCCGTTTGCCTGGATAGTTCCCCAGCAGGGGCCATGCCGTGAGAAGACAGCGGTACCTAATTCCCATTGGGAGAATCGTCGGAGACAAAGAGGCCGCCGATGATGATGTGTCTGGCGGACCATTCGACTGGATAATCTAGGTACCATTTCAGAAATGGGATCGATGAGGAACAGCGAACGAGGATTTGATGGCGGATTTCGTTTGCTGCGGGAAACTGGAGATAGGTGGAGTCTGCCTTTGACTACCCTTTTTGCTCCCTTGATAATAGTGTCATAAAGGAACGAGGTTTGACAATTGTATTGCATTAGAAACACTAATTTTTCATGTCAACATCCAATGAAAATTAAGAATTTTTACTTAGTGGTACGCTCTATCAATTTCTAAAGCGTATCAAGTAGTATAAACCATGTTTGGTCAGACGCGTACAGGTAATCGCATTTTTCGATGAACTTTCAAGGAATTTGTCTTACTAAAACTTAATCGTATTGCTGAGATATTATGAGAAGATTGGAAATGACATTTTAATCTTAAGTATATATTCTTCAAAAGAATTTTCAGGAAATTCATCTTCGAAACGATATACCGAAACAAATACCACGAAATAACGATAGCAACCGGGTTGTGCACAACTCCCAAAGCGTTAAATATTTATTGACTTATCTCAACTTTCCGCATACTCATTGCTGAGAAAGTCACCACGAAGATAAATCGCTCCTTAGCGATATACCGATCGATGGACTTCACTACTATCATAAATAACATTTCCTGGTAACCGTAAACACTGAAAAATGTATAATTCCTAATTTCTTAATAAAGTTCTATTTCTAGCATCAAATTAATTTATTCACGAGACTTCAACCTATTATCATTCCATATGGTCCCATCCATGATTACCAAAAACCTCCTTAAGGAAAGAAGTTCCTTTCATTTTCTAGATTCTTTCAAAATTAAATTCATTATGGATATTATTAGTATTCTAAATTTCCTCAAATTACTTCCCTCAAATTGCAAAATGTTATTTCATCAAGATCATTATGCTCGTTACCGAGGTTTCGGTGTTACACGTGGAAACAATCTTAAATGTTTCCGAGTAAAAAAGATTAAGGGTAAAAAACGTAACCCGCAATGTCATTGGACAGGATAGACGGTCGAGAAGGTTTTATCGGTTCTGTTCGTCAAGCACCTGTCAGTCGCTCAAACACGGTCGTAATTACGAGCACGCCTCATCGACGGTTCTCGTTCTGAAACAGATCTTGTCTCCTCTTTCTTTTTTCCCTTCTCTCACCGCTTCTTCCTGTCCGTTCTAGTCGATTGAAAGACTCGAAAGCTCATCGAGTACGCTTTCGAACTACTCGCGTCGACTGTGTTCTCGAACGCGACCTTTATTTTCGTCGTGAGACAAGTGCTTCTAAATTCTTCCAATATTTCATTACGTTTCACTTTGAAATTTACCGTTCATTACCCGCTCGTCTCTTGTTCGATCGCTTTTCTATCGTAGAATTTTATCGGATGGGGTTTTCTTCGTGCTCGCTCGCTTCTCGATGAACATCCACTTTAACTTTCAAGTGTCATGCGTTGAGTTGTACCACTTCCTGGATACTTTTGCTACTGCACCCTCTTTTATCCTGCAATTCTCTTTACGATAGACTTTCAAAACTTGTTTGTACGAGGTGAACGTAAAAGTATGTATTCCAACATTGCACGTTGGAGAAAGTTTTCAGTTCTTTCCGACGTTATATATATTTTTCTAGAGAAATAATCTGATAATCTATAATTAAATTGAAAGACTAAGTTAATCACAGTTAATAATTCAATATCCTCCTACCATTTTTCATTCCATCCCTCTTCCCCTTTTCATAATCTGATTCTTCTTCAATCTTAATCTTTCCAATTAAATTTCATCTGGTTGAAATATTCTCTTATGAGATACATTTATCTATAGCATCGTTTCGAATAACAAATATTAGTTATAAATAAACGCGACAATCGGTATTGGAACAAAGGAGAAAAATCTGCGCATCGTTCGCCAGTAATATATCAATTTCCGGGAATGGAATCGCGGAAAGCTGTCGTTGCAGTTTAACACAATTATAGCCGGGTTATAAATGTCAAACGGCATAAAGCGTTCCTTTTTCGGCTGCATACGGTTCCGATACTTCTGTGCATATGCGTTTCGAGTCGAAACCACGGCAAAAGGATTTTCGATAATAGCCGAATTTATGGTGGAACCAGAAGACCCCGCTTACGGGTAGAGCTTTTAACGCAGGCTCGAAGTTCGCCGATCGTTCGACGATTTACGAGCTCGAAAGAAGAACGATTTTGTCAATTGCAACCGCGAAAAATCCGTAAACGACGTGGAATATCTTACAGCGTGTATGTAAATACATTTTAGAAAAAGTTTTCGAAGAATTTCAAAATTTTCCTCTCCGTCGATCCTCTCGCGAACACGAAACGAAATACGTTGCTGACGAATGCGTCGGTTAAAATTTCGATCGAGGTCGCCGGATAGCCGGAAGTGGTCCGTGTCACCGTAATATCCGGCTAAACTTCATGAAACGCTTAATAATTTGCAGGTATCGCGTCGCGCGAGAAACAGAGCGAAAAGTTTCTGGCGGGTAATGCATAGCGAGAGAACAAGAAACCGCAGAAAAGTTCTCGTTCGACGATTGCCCTGGAGAACGATTTTTATCCCGCGTCCAACTGGCGGATCCTAGAGCTGTTCGCTCTTGAAGCGCATAAATTATCAACAGTTTCGTACGTATAATCTGTTTACAGGCCGGCTCGCCTTCCATCGTAACGACCGATATTTTTCAAACGTCTCCGACCGATCCTTTGTCCCCTGTCCACCTCGTTTTTTTACTTTTCGATCAAACGAATGCTGGACGGAACCGAGTTTCTGGAATAAAGCATCGTTCCTGGAACAAAGATTAAAGTAATCCGTCAATGTTCCACGAAAAAGAAATTGTTTACATCAATTGTTTATCGTCCAGAACGATTGTAAATAACGCGTCGACTTCATCGTGGGCGACTACCCCTTTCTTTCGTTACCCTTTAACCAACATAGAACTTCCACGAGCATCGATTTAATACTTTGATACAGCAGCAACGTGCTCTTGTATGAAAGGTTTCGCTCGGTGAAAAATGTCGAGAACGGGAAAGAACGTTAAGCGGTGTATCAAGAGCCTCCACCCTCCTCGTACGAGGTCTGAAACGGAGGGTGCAATTTAAACCGAGGGTGGCTCCTCAGCCACAGATTTGACAAAGTGACGGAGCCGCACGGTCCCACGAGTGCTGGAACGTCCGTTTCCTCTGGCACTCTAATTATCGTCTCGGTTAACTGGGAAATTAATCGATGGTATCGCTGCGTAACGATACACGGTAATCGAGCACCATCAAATATTTACCGCCCCTTCGTCGCGAGAGCAAATTCTGCTTAAACTTCTCCCGAGATTTCTGAAACACTCTCAGGTGAAAATGTTAATTTATCATTATGATGATTTCGACGAGGTGCGAAAGAACTTTGGGACGAGGGTCTTAGGTGGATCGCGCGGCCCGCACCAGGTCATGAACGATTATTATCGATCACCATCGAGTCGACCTGGTGAGTATAGATTAGTTTGAAACTCGAATCAATTATACGCACGACGAGGAGGCGGCCAGGTCGGCCAGCCAAGCTCGGTACGCCAAATCTAATTAGTAATGCCGATTTAGCAAACCCTAATTGCGCGCCAACATATCACCCGCAATTTATGCGACGGCCGTGTTATGAATCACTCTATGAGTATTGTGTTTTCCTAGCAGTTTCTCCTGTCTCGTTCTGCGACACCCCTTTTTCAAACCGTTCACCCTCTTTCGCGCCGATTTCCTATCAATTTCCATACTTATCACGCGATCATGGCCGTGAAGATGCAACGCTCATCCAAACCCTGTGGAATGATTAATAACGTCGAATTCTATCTCTGGATTTGGTGAAACTTTGGGTAAGATGGTTTTTAGCAACTTTAGAAAATCTTGAAAAGGGGACTAAATAATTTAGACTTAGACTTTCTGTCACTTTTATACAGGCCAAATGGTAAGAATTATCGAAAAAATTTTTGCGCCATTGTGTTTAGTGGGTGAAAATTTCAACGAATGGCCGAAAAAAATTTTTTTTTTACCACTTCCGATCGAGGTTGGCTTTAGAACGAATATCGCTCTACTTTTACCTAGTTCGAAGGGGAAGCAGTTAATATGATAGCGTGATCGGACACTATTCTCTGTAAATTTCAGTAGTATTATCTCTGCACGTCCGCGTGACGGGTAAATTAGTGGATAAAATCGAATGGAGATCAATCTATCGATGATCTGTCGTAGTGTCAGTCTATGAACTCTACGAAATCGATGGAACGCTGATTTTCCAACCGTTTTGTTCGTGGTTATAAAACTCATTAACGACATATCGGAAACGACATTACCCGCTCGAATTTGTGGCCGATAATGTGGTCTGTTCGTTTGTCTCGTTATTTTACCCTCGATACGCTGTTTGATCGGAAAAATTTGGACTTCGATCGCTTTGCATTTATTTGTAAATTGTACCAACAGAAAATAGAAGAGAAAAAGTCAATGAAAAAGTGAAAATTAAAAAACAACTCTCTGTTAATCTGTTATTATCTCAATTAACTGATTGACTTTTATGATCATCGACAACAGAATCAGCTAACTCGTGACAAATTTAAATCGACCATCATAGTAGCTCTATTTTTCGCTTTATTAACTATCGCTGTTCGTTTAATTAAGGAAAATGATTAATCGATCGGGAGTATTCGACGTATAACCCGTGAAAAGTTGAAATTTCACCTGTTATCGTGTATAATCGAATCTGTGTTGGAACGTATCGATTTGTCGCGTTATTGGTCATCGTTTACCGAGGACTCGTTCGACCGGCAAGGGGGGAAAAAACTGAAAATTAATCATCACCGCAATTCCGCTTTCGGTTTATTAGTTTCCTTTCGTTAGCCGTACTAGGGAAAAATGATTAATTGTTGCAGAGCTTCGATAGCTAATTAATCGGAAGTTTCAATCTATCGATGTACCTCATAGTTACACGTGATATCATTAAGCTTCATGTCATCGACTTGTCATTACCAACCGTATCCTTCTCATTTTTCTTGGCTTTTTTAAATTTCATTCATGTTCCCTGTCATCGCATAGAAATCGTGAATTATCTTGTGGGTGGATGAATAATTCGATCAGCGTTGCAAAGAAAAGTAATCAAAGTAACGACAGAAGTTAATAATTCGATTAAATCCGATGTAACGATTAAAACTGCACCAGGCTAGTTGATTAAATCGCGAGCAGAGCGAAGTGTACATCCAGTAATTGCAAAGACGGCTCTTCCACCCCCCATGTCGTAATTAGTTTGTCGAAGTATCGATAATATAATTCCGGCTTTTAAAATCGCGATCGTTACGTGGGTAAAAGCGAGCAAGAAAGAAACTTACAACCCTCCTCGATTTGTCTTATTTCAAAAATGGTAATGGTAGAACTCGGTTGGGGATGATTTAATTAACTGATTAATTTCATGAAACTTTCAAGAAAAATATTTTACGCGTTTGCTGTATCAAAGACGTTCCCCAGGGTGATTCGATCACTTTGATGTGCAACGACCCGACGGAGTATTTGAAATTTATGATGTTAGCTCCAGGGATCGTTTGACCAATAATAAGCACCGAGTGATTTGATCAGGCGGTCGAACCACGCCTCAAAGCGTCCTCAATGAATATATTTATCGAGTAAATTGCGCGTGAGCAGTCGTTTCCTATTAATACCAGCAATTTCCTTGCTAATGATGCATCTTAAATGTTATCTAATTATTAATTCGTGATTAATGACGCTAAGATGGCCAAAGTAGCATAAGATCGAGATCAGCCGCGCGCAAGTAGTATAAGTAAACGCGTGGTCAGACAAGTGGCACTGCACTACAACTACAAATATTGCAGTGCAATTTTCATTCCTAACGTCAAACGTTCGTTAAAACCCTTCAAATTCATGTAGCAGGGATGAAATTTTTTACTGTAAACAACGATAACATTCGTAGTTACGACACCGCCTGCCACAAAATAAAAGTTACCATTTTTATGTTGGCATGCAAGTAATGAACCCTGTGACGAGCCATAAACCAAGCGTTTCGTTACGTTTTATTAATACTTTTTCATTTCGCGGCGATCGTATCTTGTTTTATGTTACCTCTACACAGGGATAATACTTTATTTAACAATACTGGAAGGGTTTAGGGTTGAGAGGTTCGTTTTAAGCAACGAAAAGGTGGTATTTTGATTGACAGAAATTTATCGAAAAATTAAATGTAAATAATTAAACTATGTTCTTTTTGCTATTCGTAGTGTCCACGGTATAGAGTACTAATCTCGTTGTTCCTTTTGAAACTACGAACAGATTCGACCCTTCAAAGCGTACCGCTTTTTCCATTAATTGGAAACCGTTTCCGGTACTCTCTTTTGAGAGGATCGTACTCCATCAATTATTCCTTTGACAATCTCACATGCAAACATTGATGAAAACTTGAGAAACAATCAGATCAACGTTCTTATGTATACGATTGATCCTCTCGAAAAGGAGAAATCATTTCGCCGTTTCCATTTACTTTGCCTTTTCGATTAAACTTCTCGATCCGGTTACACCGTGATTCATCGTCTACGTTTTCCGAAGGAAATTAAAAGCTTCCTAGGTGATTGTTGCGCGAGGGATGTAATATACGTTCAGAGACGTCGGAGGATTATGAGGGGTTTTAAACGTTAGCAAGATCAGGCGGCTCTTTTCTGATCCGATGGGAACTTAGTTTATAAACTGCGACGTGATTAACTCAATCAACGAGGCCAAAGTTGGCTACGGAAAGTTGCGGATGGAAAACGAGAAACACTGGTAACTTCTTGGGGTTTTAATCCCCTTCAACTGTTTTCACGACCGACGGAGAAACTCACGAGTTTCGTTATCAATTCTGATAACTTCGAAATACTTGGAATTTTCAACTGTAATTTTCGCAATTACAATTTAAATAATTACACTGTTGACGGGTTAATAGAAGAGCTTTGAAAGATCAGCTCTTTCCTCGATCATACTTGAGACGAAAACAAACGCCAGTATTTTTTTCTATCTATTTCTGAATTCGAACATAGACTGGAACTGAACTTTCGCCTGCAGATTCTTCGTGTAAAACTTCTGCAGCACCGTCGGGCCGTAAAACTTCTGTAAATCGTCTACCTTCAAATGCAACGAGGCTTCTTTTACGGTCAACGGTAGACAATTCCACGGTGACCATACCTCACCCTTACGAAATCTCACCAATCTCAACTGATCCAAACGATCATCCCCCGAAATCGCCGATTTCCCCTGCCATATATCGTTCACTAAACGATAAATCAGTTTCTCGTCAACTACGAACGCCAGACTAGTGTAACACTTCATTTTACCCTCCCTACGTCTTAAATCACGAAGCAACATTTCATATTGACCATAAATAATTCGAGGACCCTTTTGAATCCTCAGATACAAACAATAATTGCAGCATGAAGAATAATGCCGTTTTTCCCTTGGAAATTTGTCCATTGGCAATAATCTATTGCAACTTTTACAAATTATTTGACGACCCAACGAACCACCCCTGATACTTCTATTCCTAAACTCATTAATTAATGAGTTTCTAGCTAATTCGAAGAAAGCAAGTCTCAAACGACCTCTCAACCAATTCAATTTACTCGGATCAACCTTAAGGGTCAGAAGAGTAATTTCCTGATCTATCAAACGTAGCAATTCATCAGAAGTTCTACAAGTATGAGGCTCGATATCGTTTCTGAGCCGAAACAACGTCTTTATACGTTCTTCGATCGAAACGTATTCCTTGGACAACTCGTCGAAGGTGTTCCTGAAATAACGAGCACGTTGCACTGCAGGAGTGTCCACCAGGATCGTTTGGCCGCGGTTGTTCTTCCAGAGGACAGGCTTCGACAACTCGTCCAGGAACTTCCTGCACGATCTCCTCTTCCTGTTCTGTTTAACCGTCGTTTTCATCGCGTCTATCGCTCGCAACAGTTCCACCTCCTTCGACAGGATTAGTCCGGACACGGCGATCCTGGAAGGTTCGAACAGCTGTTCGCTTACCCTCTTCGTTTCCTGGATTCGCCAGCGGTCAAGCAGATTGTACAGCAACTCAAAGTCCGTCCTCGTTCTCGGCCACGTGCGGTTTAGTATCACGAAATCCTGGCTGCGATAGAAACTCGGTTTCGTATGTACTCGATCCTCGTCCGTGTTCTTGGTGCGTACCGGAAGTAACGCGGTTTGCCCGCCGCGGTGATCTCTGTAAGCAACATTGAACGGACGTTTGAACGATTTTCTTCGCTGGCGGGTTTATGGTACGAAGTTGGGGTTGATTTTAAAGTAGACGGATCCAAAAATTACCCTTCGACAAACGGACTTTGAGAATTCTTTCTTATAAAAAGTTTTTACCGTCTCGACGGTGGGGACTTAGAAAATTTCTTGAATATTTCCGAGATGCCGAGGGTTAACTCGCGCCGTGTTTTTCTGAAATAAAAAACTTCCTTTCATTAAGAGTATAAGAATTAAACATTTATATCCCGGCTCTCGGCGAAAACTTGGACCGTCGACGAAGGGAACATCGTTCCACCAACTTCTACCAGTTTACTCGAACTTGCATCGTTCGTTGTTTCACCTGTAAAACCTCTGTATCTTTACGACGCTCTTCAGGATCCTCTCGTCGCCGGGATCCTGGTAGGATTCCTTGGATCTCTGTGAATGACCTCTAGCTTCTAAGAGCCTGTCTCGAACATCGGGATAAAAATTCACCTGTAGCCCCACATCGCGTTGCATGTCTGTAAATTTGTCGACCTGAAACTCCGTTTGCACTCTTTCCTCCTTGGTATCCCGGTCGTGCCTCCCGGTTTGCGTGCAGGCATTGTAATAAATAATCCCGGTAACTTTGCTTCTCCAACCACCCAGAAATGGTCTCGTCGATCGTTTCTCCGTTCGTACGGCCAGCGCCATGGTGATGAGAGAATCAGAACTCTAGCACCTAAAAAAAAAAGAGAATCGTCAGCTTTGAAAGGACAACTGCTGTGCTGAAAACTCGTCCAGGATAATGGCAGTAATAAAGGAAATTACTGTGATACGGTTTAAAGGATTCGCCTGGAAGACCTGCGCCATTCGTCGTTTTACAATTCCAAAGAACACTTGGTACAGCGAGGAAATGCTGGGTCGAAATTGGCCTCTGTTTAAGATCAAGATAGCTGTTTCCAGGAAATCGACAGGGATACATTTTCTTCATTTTCAACTAGTTTTTCTTCAAAGCCACGACGCGAAACCCAATACCTGCATTTATTATCCTGTTATCTAGTTCCAATGTTAATCCGAAAATCAACCTCAACTATTCAATCCTGGGTATCACTGGAGTTTACACGGGATCCATAATTTAGTGTGCTAGGTAAACGTGACTGTAAATCGTAGTTACAAGTGCATCGCAAACCAACGGTCACGTGGTGCTGGGTAAATAAGGCTCGCTGACACGAGGTTCCACGTGGTGCATTGTAAACACAGCCACGTGCCATTAGCAGACGTGTAGCGTAATGTAAATGCAGTCGCGTGACATTAGAAATCACGTAATGCAAACGTGGCATCGCGAGGATTGCAGTCTCGTAAAGCATCGAGGACAGAAACCTGTGCATTGCTGAAGACACCAACGTTCTGCTTCCATTACCGTTCTGTTGCTATTGAAATTAGATTTTTATTTCCTATTTACTTTACAGTTTCCCCCTTTCCATAGGGGTGGCGTATTCTAGGGACAAGCGGTCCTTTTCACATTTCGTTTCGCATTTTGCCATACTTTTAGCATTCACTCCTTTCGCTTGCGCCCCCTTTTAGTCGCCTCCTACGACAGGCAGGGGATACCGTGGCTGTATTCTAAACCCCCCAGCCACAGGGGGCAATTTTTATTTCTTTCATTACGAAAATATGGATTTTCCGATGCATTTTGTACGCATAACGTCTATTACATTCATTTTGGCTTGTTTCACGACCGAGGACATAAATCAAACGACGCTAATCATCGAAAATAAGGCGAACGCGTGCTTTGCTCGTCGGTAATTAAGGAAACCGCGTAAATATTAACGCGTCAATCATCGAGGCTCCCACGTTGCACCATAAATTCAGCTATAAACGTAACATATCGGTGATAGGTCAGTGAGGCATAAATTTCGTCGTAAACGAACACGTAGCAGCGTGAATTTCATCATAAATAAATGTATGGCGAGCGTAAACTCGATCTCAAATAAATTGGTCGACCAAGGAAACATCAGTGTGTTAATCATAAACGATAACGCGTTCGATGCGTGCAACATATTAATTTTCTCGAATCTTCAATTTCGTATCTAAACTTTCCTTTAAAATTGACATCACTTCAAAATCCCGAATTTCGAACTTGAAATATTCTTTTAGCAGAGAATTGGAAATATCGAACGAACGAAAGATCTTCAAAGATTTTCATACGACACACAAGCGAACCAACATTTTCCGCCTGTTATACATTATTTAACGTGAAAAAGGAAGTACAGGTTGCTAAAAGACGTCTCGGATATAGAACTGTTCGAGCAAACCGCCTCGGGCATCGAAGAAATCCAAAAAGGGAATCGTCGATATAAAAGCTTCGTCTCTGTGAACATATGTACTTACAGAATCCATGAAACGATATCTTTTTTTCTTCAACTACTAGGATTAACACGTTTCTGCAAAATTTAAATACAAACACGATGGAATAATATTTCTTCGAGGGATACGATAACGAATCGATGAAATTCCTTTCGAATTTAAACTCGGGAAATTTCCAATGTCTGTGAAATAATGTTAACCAGTGAATTCGGATGTGAAATCGTATATTTTCATGATTCTGTATATACTGTTATTGTAAGATTGTATTGAAAAAAAGCGATGGAAACAAAACCGCAGCACTGAAAGTTTTCCCTATGGAAATTCGAGCACAAATCAAAACGATACAGGGAAAAAAGCTGGGTTAATAAAAAAAGAAATTCCTGGACGACCCTTCATCCCTCGACTGGAAACGCAATAAATACGAATCCACTCTATATTTCGACTCACCCCGGTGTATCCTAAAACGCTTCACCTCGTTCTCTATCGCTTATATCCTCGTAAATTACTTTTATAACTTCACGATTATTCATTGTTCGTTTCACCGTGTCACGACTATTCGTTCCTCATCATCGAGGAAATTTACAACCACCAGCACTATCTTATCGTAAATTGGAGGAAAAAGGTCTGCCTCGTGTCTTGAAATAACACGTATTATTAAATTTATCGAAACAGACATATAAATGAAAAAAAAGAAGCAACCAGCCTGGAAAAGAACGAACACGAAGCTTTTAATGCGACGCAGTCCATATAGGAGAAAGCTCTGCACCAATCGAAAGCTCATAGCCTTAAATCCAGCGTTGCCAATGGCAACCTGCTTGGTCGATCGGTCAAAAGCACTTTCTACTCCATTATTTTTCGATTTTATATACCACTGACTTAAAGAACCTACCCTACTTCCTCTCAAACTCGAAGCTCCTCTCTTCTTATCCTTGATTACAACAAACGTAGCTGAACCATGATTGTCCATCAGGGTGGAAAGAATCTCCAGGTGTTTAGGATCCTGTAGATTGTTCCATAAGCATTCAAGATGCAATTAACCCATCATCGTTATTAATTACATGGTTCACCCCCATCTTGCCCTAACATTTGTCTTTGAATGTCTTTACATTCTGAATACTTCCTCATCTAGTGACTCTCATTAATTTTCATCAGTGTCATTTTTGAATGATCGATATTCCATCCTTGATTAATTTTCAAATTATAGAATCTGCGAAAAAGGGTTTGGAGGTACAGAACCGAGCCCAGAATCTCCACCATGATCCTGGTAACCCATTGTCACCTGTAGTAATTAATTATAACTAATATAATTAGTAATTAATTATGTAGGATGTTTATTTGCAAATTATTTAATTTGTTGCTCAGACGAATAATTTATATAAAAACGATCATAGTTATTGTAAAATGTATCAAGAAAATAAATAATCATTCACTTTGATCGCTGGTTTATAAACCAGTTTGTTTTCAATCTTATGGAACGTTTCTCTGTATTCTTCTTCGAACCGTTTCAAGTCCCTGCAATATGTGCAATTAATATATTCATTTTATTTATCAATGTTTGCAAGCACGTATGCACATACTTGAATTGATTCTTCGCCAACTGATGGTTTAATAAAACCCTCTTAATAAGATGCTTCGAGTACATGGAAGGAAGATCCTTGATTCTGCAATGAACCTCAGCCTCTTCCTGGGTTAAAAGGATACAATTCCATGGTGACCACTCTTCTTCCGCGTTATATCGAACCATTCTCAGAACGAAAAGATCCTTGTTCTCACTCATAATCGAATGACCATGCCAGATGTTGTTCACCAGATGATACATATCGTGTTTTTGCATCACGAATGAAATAGCTGACGAAGCACATCTGTTCTTCTCATCAGAACGTACGCAATCCAAAAGAAACTCATAAGGTGCGTAACTCACGTGTGCAGTGTTTCGTTCTCGCAACCATGTACACTCTGGATGCAATGAAATATTATGTTTTTAACAATAAAGAAAAAAGGGTAAAAAAGAATGTACCTATACATGAAGACAACTTCTTCATCCTTCCATGGACCGTGAATTTTTGACTGGGTAGCAGTTTCAAGCAACTAGGGCATAATTTCGTGTTTGTTTCTATGGGTTCTCGTAGTTTCTCATCATCCACATTTTTGCAGAAATTTTCGTCATCATTGACGCAGCAACAGGAGTGCGACGATCGTACAAAGTACAAGTAATCATCTGCACAATTGTTTTCAATCAATTATCCTTGGTTGAAAAATGAGAAATTAATTATAATTCTTACAGATTATTCTTTTCCTAAAATACTCCAGCGACATGTTTTTCATCCCTCTTGATAGATAAGCTAATTCTTGATCCAAAAGTTTAATTAAATTTAACGCAGCCACACAATTATGCACTTCTAATGATTTCTTCAGTTTCGTCAGTATCTCCATACGTTCTCCTCGAGTGACGTTGTATTTCATTAATGAATCGTAGATCGTTTTGAATTCTCGTGCTTTCTGATTCCTCATCGTATCTACCTTCACCAGTTTCCCCTTGTAACCATGCCAGGTGATAGATTTGCAATTAAACGTGATGAATTTCACACGTTTCCTGTTCCTGTACTCTTTCTTCACTTCTTGTCTCTTCTGGTCGATCACCTTGAACATCTCCACGGTTTTATCCAGGATTACATAATTTTCTGCGCATCTTGCAGCCTTGAAGAAACGCTGCTTCGTGCAGTCGAGACGATTCAGTCTCCATTTCTCGACCAGCTCGTACAACATGTCAAAATCTTGTCGAGATTTTGGATTGATTCGTCCAAAAATTTCTTGCTGATGTCTTTTCCTGGAAATGTGGAAAGTGGGAAAAAAGGGTAATCATTTGACTGTCTCGAAGAAGAGAAACTTTGGCAGATTTTAGTAGTACACTAAACTAAATTTCGAAATTCTTTACCTGTAAATTAGGGATTTTTCTAGCTCATACATCTTGCAATCGTCGACCAATTCCCGATACTGTTTCGCAAATTTTTTAATATTCTTCAATAATACATATATTCTATAATTTCTTTGAATAATTCTAGCTTTTCCATCGTAATCTAATCGCTTCATCATCTCTTCATACGTTTCATAAGGTTTCGACGTTAAATATTTATCGAAACCGCTTGATATAAAACAATCTGATCTAAATAAAAAGAAGAAATGAATGAATCGATTAGTGGGTGGGAAATCATTTCAACAACAATATCAAATGATTTTTAGATTCATTAGTGTTAAAAAGAAAAGATACTATATCAAGGATAAGATACTGATGTTTCTTCGTCTTAGGGCAGAAAGAATTCTTCATTCTGCGAAGACCTTGCTTTAAGTCGAATGATAAAAAAAGATACATATTGCTTCATCAAGAAAATGAAACATTCTAATGATGCCAAGTGGTTTTAATTTCAAGGAAAGGTATTGTACCGCCACATCTGTGTTGGATGATGGCATGGTGTTTGCGTGGACGTCTCTAGTGTTGCAATATATTGCACCATTCTGCTGCACGTTTTTCTTTTCGGCATTCTTAGAGGTCCCGTTTGAGATGCAGCATTTAAATATTCTAATTTAGTAATCTTGTGCCTCCATCCTCCCAAATAGGGTTTCTTTATTCTTCGATCTTCTATCTTCCACGCTGAACAGCAAACCATCTTGAGATGATATATATATATGATTGAAAATAATTTATACGGTACAGCAACAAATCGTTTTATTCAATTTTAGAAAATAATAGGTTGTACATCGAGTTCAATTTCGAGTACAAAATCTGCTATTAATTTCATTTGTTTTGATGAATATGTCTGCTGTGTGTATGTGTAGTCCATCCAACGAGACGAAACAGTAAATGTGTAAAAATTCACGTGTTTGAAGCAAGCCCGACTCACAGTATACAGACCTCGATGAAGCGTATGAAGAACTGGAAGCAACTGTGCTCCGACCCAACGTCGAGCGCGTGAATTTGTGAACATATACTGACTCATCTCATTGGACGGCCTATAGTATTGTATAATTAAAAGATTCTTTTTTTTCTTCCTATTAATTACGCTTCTTATCCATCTCAGATTATCGCTTTTTATTAGACATACATCACCTTCTCACATGAATCTTGCGATTTACAAGCATTTTATTCTTTTTTTTTTCCTTTCAATTATTAATTTTACATTCAGATTCATTGCTTCGATTCAATATTACAATTTTCGTGTATGTATAGTACAGGATTTAACAATGTATATAAACCATAGCTATTTTCGTC